AACATGTAAAATTGTGGTTTGTGTTTGCGAGCATGACCAGGTCTGCAACCTTTCGCATAGAAAGTAGTTTCGCTTGCTACATTTGACATCTCTCCACATACCGTTACGATGAAATGGTTTGGTTTGGTATTTAGAAATACCAGACAATTGCCTTGAGTACATTGACTGCATGTGAACACAATCCTTTCCCTCAGACACTTCAGCCGGACATTCGGTATCCCAGTTGACAAAACCAACGGGTGAGCCATCATTCCATACAAATTGACTACAGTTTTCGGACACCCTTTTAGCCCCAATCCAAACACTCTCGCCATTTGCAAAAGCGTCACTGAAATGATTTGTCAGAAAATCTTGCTCGCTAAGCGACTTTACGCTAGCTAATGTCGGTCTGGAGCAATCACCATGCACCTTTAGCTCATTACATTTGTGTTCGGCTTCGTCGCGATTTATTAATTCCTCGATAAGTTTAAAGCATTTCTCGTCTTCGTAGGCAATCCAACCGCTATCACCACATGCATGAAGTGGCGGTTTGTGGGAATCCACATCTAAATTCATCGTAATTAAAGTTAAAGATGCTTGATAGATTGCGGATACCTACGATGTACACTCGAGCCAATACGGGCCACATGAACCGTTTGATAGCAAAGGGAAACAAGTCTAAATGCAAATACAAGGTATTGTATACTGTATTATAATATAGTGATATTGACTAATGAATAATGAAACATTACTTATAGTTCAATACCTTATATTTGAATATAGACTTATTTCCCTTTCCTATCAAAGCATTCACATTATGAGTGACAAAACTTGTAACATTTAACATTAATCTCAATACTCACTAATGTTATAATGTTCACAGTATTGTCACGACTAATGTGGCCGGGATTACAAAGCATGCACATCGCAGGCATAATCATTTACCATATATCACACAAAAAGAAATAAGTAATAGTGCTGGAAAATATACATGCTTCATTTCATGTATTTTAATGTGTAAACTGTTTGATTGAGAAAACAATATTTTTGATGGATAGTGAATATTATATATAGTTTTAATTTCTCCTATAAAATTATGTAATAGATAAATTTAAATATATAATCATTAAACAATACAACTTTATAACCCATTTATTGCCCAACTTATAGGGTTATAACGTGAGAAACTAAATTTTCGGACCATAAAAGGTAAGGTTATAATATCAGGAGATATAATTAGGATAAAATAACCTTGGCTATACTTTATTACAATAAAATATAACCTGGTAGGCATCTTTTTTCAAATTAATCCGGTTTATATGATTAAATTAACTAAAGCCGACTTATACAGTTTAAGATTAGTAAACCTAGCTATCAAAAAGACATTCAAGTGCCTACTAATATACATGTCTATTAATTACAAATTTATTATGATGTTTATGGTTATATAAATAATAAATTATAATGTATTTACTATAATTAAAATGTCAAACTTTATTATGACAAAGTTGAAACAATAAAATATTATTAGCTCAAAATATATTTATTTATGTTGGATATGATTAGGTTAATTGTAATAAAAAATAAACATATTTGTTTTTACCATAAATGCATTTCATGTGCAAAATGTATATGTTACAAATTGATTATCATTGGATCAATTCATTTGAGGCATTGTTTTAATGATTGTTTGGTTTGTGTTTTAATAGCTTTTGTGGAAATTCCGGTCACAACTGGTGAGGGGAAAGGCTATTAATCTATGAACCCCTGGTTATGGCATATATTTTTTGAGAGTAATTTACTTTTTGAACATTTACTGTCTAATGGTTTATATAATGTTTTTTGATTTATGTAATCAATATATTGTTTTCAACTCTAGATTCAAAAGTAAATAATTATTTTATTGTACGGTAATTATGAAGTTGTGTTTAATTTTGATTTATTGAGAGATAATCTAAAGTCAAATCCATGGCTATTAGGACTCAAGTGTTGGTTATGAACATCGAGAAGAAGATCGCCAGCAGTTAAGCGGTTCCGACGACAGCGAAGACATTCAACCGACACTTGTTTTCGTAGTTTTTTGCTGTAATTTATCGAAAGTGTATTTAATTTAAGGATTTATTTTGTGGT